TATGTGACAAACTCCAACATGATATCTTTTCTGGCATTTACATACTTAATCTTCCCAGTTCCTGTGGATACCAGCACATCAAGGTGTTTCAGAAACTATTAAAGCTGATGAATCAGAGACCAGTCATTGATCCTGAGTGGAAGGTGATGATCCCTGGCTGATCAGGCACCCATGACTCAAGATGGGGAATTTGGGGGGGAATTTTGGCAAACGGAGAAAACTGTGTTTGGCAGGGCTCTGCTTATCTAACCAAGCTAGCTGGAATCAGTTATTCTTCCTAACACACACTGCTTGGAGGTCAATAGTGTTTCTGAAGTGCATACAGGATCTATAGCCTGAGAGTAACAAGCCACCTGCATCCTTTTTATTTCAGAAAAGAAGAAAATAGGAAAAAAAAAGAGCAAAGATTTACTTATGGCCAATTTCACAGGCTGCAATCAATTTACAGGTCACTAGGAGGCTTTCAGGCAAAGGCATAACATATGTCTAACAGGCTCAAAGTAAGAGGCTATCTAGAAAATTGGATTTAAGTTATAAGGAAGCTTATTTAAGGCACTAAAATTCAGAAGGCAGAGCCTTTCGTAACCTAAGGTACTGAACCTTTAAGAGTTTTTTATGATTCCACCCCACTCCAGTAACGATGTTTTTCAGCTCGAAGTCTAGTATTAAGCAACGCTAAGGACATTGCTTGCTAGTTGCAAAGTGTGATAACCTTTCTATACCTAGATAAATAAAGTGTCACCTTTTATTCCATCTCATCTATTTTTATACAGCTACCTGTATTACAGCTAGAAGCCAACAGCTTGTTTTAGTCACAGTGTATTCAGCTTCATGAATGAAATAATATTTGATTTAAATGACATTAAAAGATATTTTAAATTAAAACTACTGTTTAAAATCAGAATGTTCGTCTGATGATTGGAGTCAGGGTTTGTCCAACAGTTATGACACTGAGCCAATAACATTGAAGATAATGATTTGAGCCTGTTAGGAAAACTTCCTAGAGAGTGAAGCACCACCTGGAGAGTGGTGCTAATGGTTCCATCAGCCTGCATGCAATCAAGGCCTCGATTTATTGTTTTTCTGTGGTTTTCTATTCTTCTTGATTGTCTGCTGATGAAACCTGGTAAGTACCTTGTTACACAAAAATGCTCATTTATCTCGTACATGCAAGACACTCCCATTCCATCCTATGTGTGCACCACACAGGAACCCCCTAGCAGAGAAGAAACAGCCAGGCTTTGCTTAAGAGATCATAATTTCCCTCCCATGCACTGGCTGAGAGAACACTAAAGATCTCATTCTATCCTGCAATCAACCTCGTCAGCTCTCCCCTGGCTTTTCCTTCTCAGCAAGGAACTGAAAGGGGTCACAGCCTTCCCCTCTCACAGAAAGAAGGGGCCTGGGGCATCTCAGAGCTCTGGGGCTGACCTGCAGAACTTGGTGTCAGAGGGGACTGGGGGTCTGTGTGATGCATGGCTGAGAAGCCACTGGTTCTCTATGAGGATGGGAAAATATTTTTAAAGAGTCTGTACTAGATTTATTCAGTATCTGGCCTTTATTTGGAGGTTCCCTCTGTTGCCTCAGTGTTTCGTTCCCCCAGGTCTGGCCTGTGTGACACCAGCTCACAAGTCTGCCTGTTTCCTTCTGCACACAGATGGTACCTATGACCTTGGCAGCAGTGCAGTTAATGGAGCAGTACCAAAAGTAATCTTCAGCCATCTCAAACCCATCCTAGGCTGGTTTCACATGTATGAAAAATTGAGTGCTCGGCTCACTCCTGCAGGCACCATGCCCTGATGGACCCAGAGGAAGCTGGGACCCACAGACCCTAAACGGTGTAGAAAAACATCTACTTTACACAGCATCCTGTGCAGCCAGAGCCTGCTGGCCCTCATCTTGCAGATGGGGCATCATTTTAGAACATAAAAAACCAGCAAAACAGCTGGTGGAGGGTTGTGCCACATTCCTTTCTATCAAGCCTCAGGCTTCCAGCCAATATTACCATCCTTCCAAGACAAAAGACATATACCTTCTGCCTTTCTTCTGATGTTGACCCAGAAACTCTTTCAGCAGCTTTTTGGATAGAGGAACAAAGTGTTGGGACATAGGACCAACAGAGTTTGAATTTGGGAGTGACAGAAAAGATGAACTATGCAGAAAGCATGGCTCATGGACACAGAGGCAGGGAAATATGAAATGTTGGAAACGGCTCCCCTAAGAGACATGGAACTGAAATGCAGAATCTTTTCAAAATTCAAAACCGTAACATAACATAAAGCACCAGTGAAGCAGACGTCAAGTCCTAAACAAGGATTTCAAGACATAAGGAAGATAACAAGTTTAGAAAAGAAAAGCGAGCCCAGTGACTGTCAGATTAATTGAACACAGTGTCAGGAAAGATTGCTTTGTGAAGTGTTGCTTCTTAAAGCATTACAAAGTCGGAAAGACATCAGAAACATTGATTGGCAGCAAAGGGGAAACAGAAATCACCAGCGATCAATAAGGCAGCTGCCAGCAGGGGAGGGGGTGACACGCCAGTGCAGGAAGCACTTTGTGGAGCTTCAAGTGGCTAAGTAATAGGACTGGGACCAAACCATTGATCAAAATTATTTTTATGCTGTAAATGGTCTTAAAAATACACCTTCTGGCATTTGAATACATTAAGTAAAAATGCTGCTATTATTTGTGCCTGCTTAGCATGACTGCTAGCAGCCTCTGGAAGCCTTAAAGGCTAAACTCGTTAGCTCTTTATTACAGAAGAACTTGGGATCTCCTGATACCACCAATTAATTCAGGCATATTGTTAGAAGTGGTAAATCATCTCACTTGCCAAAGTACTTACTACATCTTTCCACTCTATCAAGTCTCAGCCAGGCCTCTTCCCCATGCATTTCCAAACATGGAATCCAAGTACTTTCTCTGAGGCTTTCCCTTTTTTCTTGTCCTCCACTCCTGCCTCTGTTGTTCACCAAAGCAGCTCCTGGGAACGAGGGCCTCCTGGAACAAATGCTGCATGACCTTTGCGGTGCTGGGAGCTGCTGCTGATCTCAGCTCAGGACGAGGGTGTGTTAGGGAACATCTGCCCTGCATCCTGCAGGGAGCTCTGCCCCGTTTGTGGTCTGTGCACATGATGACCTGGCTGGCAGCAGGAGGGAGCTCACCTCAGAGCTGCTGCTGTCTAGTGAAAATGCTGTTTTTCATGAAGGCTGCCTTGGGGTGTCTTGATTCCTATAGCTGCCAAAGAGGTATTTTTTCTTGTTCCATCACTGTCCCAAGTCATGTTCCCACTGCCTGACCCCTACCTTCCTTGCAGCTGTTCAAGCTCTCTTTTTTGTCAGATGTAGGAAGAGAATTACACCCTTCCTTCAGGAATGGTGATTTAAGTACCTGGAGATAAAACCCACAGCCTCTCCTCTGCTTCCGACTCTTCCAGGCCCTCTCTCTCCAGCATTTCACTAGACAATGTCCAAGTTCATCCCATCTTTGCTCAGAGGATTTCCAGCTTGCTAACCATTCCTGTTGCTCTCCTTTTGCCTGTCTTCAGCGGGGTTACTTTTTTTCCTTGTGTGGTCCTCCCTCCCAAAAAGAGACAGTTTTAGCCCTGCTGTGAGTAGGCTGGGAGGTGTCCTTACCTGGTCCCAGGGTAGACCTGCCAGACCTGCAGGTTTGGACCTACCAGTCCATCTTGCAGCAGGTGGGGTTGGCTCATGTTCAGCTTGCCATCAGCTCCATCCTTCAGGAGCTTCCGGGACAAGTGGGATTTAAGCAGCTTTTTTCCCATATTGTTGTTATGAAGGACAATGTATCCACCTACCTGTGGATGCAGGGGCTGCTTCTTCTACATGCAGGGGGAGCAGCCAAGCTGGGCAGAGGAGCCTTCCCTGGCGTCTGCTCCTGGTCTGGAAGATGTACAGAGGGTACTGCGCTCTGCTGGCTGCTGGAGCATCTCCCAGAGCAGGTCTGGCAGGCTGGGAAGCAGCTCCCCGTCACTCATTCATGAGGCAGCGGGACCTGCGGGAACTTACAGGTGAGAATGCAGCAACACAAAAGGCAGCAGATGTCATGTATTGATTTTAACCAGCAATTTCACATCGACAAGCCATTCCAGTTATGGATGCTGTTTGTCCATGTGCAGGTGGTGCTCCGGAGGCTGCGTGCTGCTGGGTTTCTGAGGGCTCTGCCAGCCTGGGCAGCTGCCGTGCCAGCAGCAGGTTGCAACGAGAACCTGTCCACAAACCCGAGTGGTTTTCCCACAGAAACGACAGGAAAGGTAACGCAGCACTGAGCACAGAACCAGCACAGGACGTGGCGTGTGGAGCTGCTGAGGTTTTGTTGCAGAACACGGAGCGTGGACGGCGTCGTGTGCGCTTCAGTGACAGCTCTTGGCTAGAGCAGCAGGGAGGTGTGACTGCTAACGCACTCCATGGGGAATATTTGCTGCTTCCTCTCTAGGATTTGGAACATCTGTCCCCCCTTCCCAGTCTGCCTGACACAGGAATGAGTACTTTTGCTTTTCCTACCACAGCACTGGGGTTAGTTGAGCTGTGAGTTATCACAGTAAATCAGGCGATGGTGGCTTGGTGGAAGCCCCTGTTCCTCCAGGCAGGCACCTGCTGGCAAACCAGGGTTAGAGCTAAGGAAGGGCACGCCAAAGGAGCTGGCAAGAAAGCTCAGGCTCTGAGGTCCTGTTCAGAATGGAGACAGTCCTCCTTCCAAAAGGGATGTGGATGGGTCACAACCGTCTAGGGCGGAGCTGTGGTGGAGAGGGAAGGGGTTACTGGAATCTCTCTAATAGTTGGAGGCAATTAAGAAAGGAACAGTGATTTCCACTGTCACCAAGAGACTGTTCCCAGCTGAGTACTGCTTGGAAATTTGAGATCTAATTAAAGCAGGCCTTGGATCTCATCATTCTTCCTGCACGCCTGGGACAATGAAATACTGACTCCTGCATCTGTTCTGTGTGTGTACCCGATGCAAATAAGGAAGAAGTCTGTAAATACATCAAAAACCATACTTTATTTTATGTATAGCAATACAATTTACATATTAAATAACACTATAATAGAATGATTTGATATAGTTTAACATAACAAAAAGAAGATTCTTCAAGTTACAAAAAACCCCCAAACAAAAAACAAAAACGAACAAAAAATCTCCCTCAAAATGTTCCCTCCCACCCTCTCCCCAAACCAAACACCACATTTTTATTTTTTTTTTTTCTGAATGGATCAATGAGACAAACGTATCCAGTGACTGGCTAAGTCTAATTCCTATTGCACACACTGACAATGGAATCCAAAAAAAATATCCAACTTTCACAATCACTGCCCCAAAGAAATGACATGTGTGGAAATCTTTTTTGGAGTGTGATGATGGTGTCTCACTACCTCGATACACAGAAGGTTTGTATTCACATAGCCACCACAGAACTAGGAAGGAGGTGAAACTAGAAAAAAATTAGCTTTATATGAAAATATAAAATTCTATGATTATATACCATAGATACAAAGTTCCCAGAAGATGCTTATCCAAGCAACAAAATATTTACAGTTTTAATGACTTTGCTATTTTAAAAATGAAGGAAAAGAAAATAGGAGTACACATGAATGCTTCGGTCTCTAGAAACAATGGCTGCTTGCTAGTCTCAAGTGTTCTAACAAAACAAAAAAAGTCACTACCCCAAATGTTGGAGAGTTGTGACATTGTATAAAATTGACTATCTCCTCTTTTGGAGACGTTTATTCTTAAAACTCAAGACATTTTTCTTGAAATTAATTATCCTCTGTAGAAAATGCTTCCCTTTGCAAATAGTTAACAAAAACACTAAAAACAGTTTAACAGCTAAGACAAAGTAGAGGCCAAATCTCTTCATTACAGTTCCTCTTTTTCTTTATTTTTGCATTCCTTCCCCTTTAATAAGTAAAGCCAATGTAGTTCACATGTTAGAATGGCAACAAAGAGAAGAAGAGCAAAGGGGTAACAGTGAATTACGTCTGAAAAAAAATTAAAAGAGAAAAAGAAAAAGAAGAAAAGCAATGCAGTGGATTAACAAATAGGCATTTTCCCTTCATATAAAAATTCACTGGCACCATTTGAATATAAACTTCAGAACACAAGATCTGATGTCAGAAGACATGAATTTGAGAAAGACTGCTAAATCCTTAAGACAACTACATTTTAATTTTTTTCTTAAAATTAAGTTGGTTTTGTTTTGCTGAGAATTAGTAGTATGCATCTTTGGTAAAATTGATATCTATATTTTTTAGCTTTTAAATAAAATATATCATCTTAAAGGAAAGATTAATGAGAAGGCAGTTGTGCTGTGTCATAAAGATTCTTCTCCTAATGTCCCAATGTATCACTCTGGGTTCAAACAATTTGAGCAGTCAGAAACCAGAAAAACAACTGAAATTTTGCCGATGATGTAAATGACTGCTGACCTAGAACAGACCCACAGTACAGAAACAGTCACTCACAAGAAATAGTTTAAGGGGTTTGGATTTTTTTTCCTGTTCTTAAATTAGTATTTGGAAACAGACACTGAAATACTAAGGACAAATGCTGTTTAAAATGAATGTTCTTTAGACCTTGGTCCCACAGAAGAATCGGTGCTTACCCTGCACAGCTGAGCAGTCCCACCGGCTCTCCCAGACCTTCCTACTGACACCAAGCTCACATACTGTTTGTAGGATGGGGCATTCAGCTGAGACTGTCACCCATTTCGGAGGCTAAGGTGGTACAGCAGCTTTCCAAGCATTCCCTCTTGGAAAGCTTGGCTGCTCTTACGGACTCAGCACCGTTTGTGTCTCTCATGGTCTGCGGGCGCAGTACACGTGCAAGACACGGAGAAATGGTATTTTCTAAATGCAGACACACATGCACTCGTGTGCTTCAGTCCTTCCACAGTTCTCAGGGCTGGTGCTGAGGACCACAGGGATATACTCAGGTTCTCTTAATCTGCAAACCTGCACATTGCCTGGGAACCTCTGACTGACGGACATGGCTTGAAAGACATCCTGACCGAATGCCAAGGGGTGGGTACAGTGTGGGGGGTTGATGTCCCAAAAGCAAGGTTGGGATGCACAGAGCAGGACCTTGGCCAGACACTTGTGGGAGCATCAGCAGAGCTCATGAGTGCCCATCTCTGAGCAGACACTCGCTCCTTCTGACACTCAGTCCAGGGAGAGGTGCAAATCCATGTAAGAGAGCAGAGCTGCAGCTGCTTACAGTAGGGTAGGTTTGGCTTTTTGTGCACTTAGTCCTGACCTTCACAAGCAATTTCTAGCTTCATCCACTTCAAGCCTCATGCATCACTACCATCTATTGGCTACCTGACTGTGAGCACAGTACTTAACACACAGCTCAAGCCTCTTTACAAGAAAAAAAAAAAAAAATCTATGGAGAACTCATAGACCACCAGTGTACATTATTTCCCCATGGATTAAACCCCAAGCAAAAGTATTTCAGGTGTCAAAAAATGCCAATGCAAATGCATGGATTTCCAAAGCATCTACCAAAGTTCAACCCCCGCAGCCTTCATTCATTGATGTTTAAAACTTGTGAGAAGGTAAGGGATTAAACCAAGGGTATTCAGACAGTGTGTCACGAACCACAGTTATCTTCCATCATGCCAGTGAAATGAAAAGTAATCAGCTGAAAGTACTGAACAAATCCAACCCTCTTGATGCCTGCAGTAATCTTCGTGTCACTTAGCTCTTGTCAGGGTTTGAATTCTTAACTTATCCCTACACCTCCCCAGGAACTTAAATACTTCAGATTGAACTGAGTCAACTCGTTAGTCCCTTTGTGCTACCACCTGGAACTGCGTGGGGCCAGGCTGAATACTGGGGGTGCAGGGGGACTTCCCAGCCTCTAATGCTGATGGCCCACTGGCCAACAGACCACTCAGCAAAACCTTCCAGCCCTTGAAGGCAGCAGCACTTGAAAACTTACTTAAACAATTCTGTTTACTGGGGTGTAGTGACTGGAGAGACAGTCCTAACTCCTACCAGACATTAATTGACTTCCTCCCCCGTGCCAGGCAATCATCCCAGAGCAAAGGGGATGCAAACTACAACCTTTTGAAACATTCTGCACATTTTTTATTTGGACTAGCTGTTGCTGGACATGAGATTTCCTTACTGAAACCACGGGCTTATTATCCTGTTCAGCTTAAACAGTTATTGGGATCATTTGTATGGAGAGGGATTCAACAAACGGAGAAGTGAAAGGCGACTGTGTAAAAGGTTGATGACGAATTCTTGAATACTTTGGTGTTGAATTAATCAGGAAATCTTTCTCTCATTAAAGATAAAAGGCCAGATTTTAGCACATACCAGTTTGCATAGCTCATCTGCTCTCAGCGAGGTTGTATCAGTTTGCATCGTGAGAGGTCCTGAACCAAAATACCTACTCTTAATAACCTTTTAAGCAGTTTGCTTTCAGCTTCCTTGTGAGGGAAAATACACAGAACCCTGCCAAATGCCTGTATTTCAGCAAGACTGGACTGGCAGAAATTAATAGGTTTACATTTAAGTGAAAAAAGATAGGCTGTATTAAATGAAAAAAATATGCTGTAACATTTTGACAAGTCCTGAAAAATTACAATGCATGTTTTGTGCAGCTGAAATTCAGAAGTAAAGAAAATAATGCCATATATATAAGGGATAGTGCCTTTAACTGTCCACCAAAAATCAGGATGGCTGAAATCACATATTTCCTTTTCCAGGCAGATTCAATAACCCCTCCTCCCTAGTCAGCCGAGCTATGAAGGACACGATTAACTTTAATTTTAAGGAGAATTAAGCATGTGCTTACTTCTTTTGTTAAACAGGGATGGACCTTGTTGAATTAAGACCAAATATAAAGGAAGAGGGAGCCAGTGAGGCTGTATACTTAAATGCTCCAAACAATAATTCAATTATTTATATAATCTGGGGAAAACCATTTCACTGGTGTGGGAGGGAAAACACAATAAGCTAGGTTTGTGCTAAAGAATTAGTCTGGCAAAAAAAAAAGAGGGAGAATGTAACTTTATAGGTAGTTTTTTTATTAGTTTGCTTCACCAGTAAATATGGATCAGTACTTTATGTTTTAGCACTAAAGTATGAAAATTACACACCTGTAAAAATGGCATCTAACAGTTATGAAATTAAGAAACGCCTGTCATCATGTAACATACCATTAGGTGTGAGGTCATATTCAAGAAATAGTAAGGAAATTAGATGTGTTTAAAATATTGAATAGCTTAGTAATGTAAAATATTGCTACCTTGATATATATCTGAAAACAGCTCTGATTTTGGGTTGCAGTAGATTTCTCACTGTACTGGATCTGATGAGAATAAAACCAAAATACTTTCCCATCACAGGGTTGGTTATAAACCAAAATCAACATTTTTCTGATTACATGGGGAAACTTCGAAATTGTAAACTGAAAACCTATCACTGTGTCCCAAATATGAACTGCATCTAATTTATAATTATATTGTATGTAACTTACATATTCCGTGTGAAGCAAGTCTCAGGCCTGTAAGTGTACAAAACAGCAATTTGAAACAATACAGAAATAATTGTTTCAGCTCCACAAGGCTGTTACACCTTCACCGTAGCTAATAATCACCTGCCACGTTTTGTCAAGAAAGGATGAACACTGCTCATCCACTCCATGGAATGCAGAACACCGTTACCAAAACTGTGACATGATCATTAAATAATAAATATGGTATGAAGGGGTACAGTATCTGTTGTAGAAAGAATCCATCTGACCTAGCATTCAAGATTTAGGATTCGAGGGTCACTGTAGTTAGCAAAACTTCACTGCATTTAAACAAAACAGAAAAAAAAGCGTATGTTTGTTGTCATGGAATGTCACATCAGGGCTTGTCTTGTATTAGAGTATTATAGGCAGTAACACTGATCATATAGTGCAAACTAGATAAAATTGCGTTTCACTGTGTGAAATAAACAGAGGTGCAAATGCTCAGTAGGATACCATTAAGACATAAAATGGCAAAAAATAAATATCAAAACTTTTATCAGTGTAAAAAAGTAATTGGGTTATTGTATAACCTAGAGTCTGGCAAAAAAGGCCTCAAAAAAGTTCACTCAGTCTTCAGAAGTTCTACAAATTAAGTGCCTTTTCAGGTTTCCAATTAGACAAGAGACTCCATGCTTTCTGCGGGATCAGATTCGTCACTGGCCATCACAGCACCATTTTTGTCCAGTGTCATGGGACCATTTCCATTTTCCTTAGTGCTGACCAAGCTTAGCATTGCCTTATAAAGAAACTGGTACTGCTCCTGGAAAAGAAAGAACAAGTTATTTCAATCCTTTAAGTGTACATAGACGAGTGGCACTTAAATTTGGCATTTCCAGGGAAGGTCATGGATTTTCATTACCAGAAGCATACACAGAGCGAAGAAATAGACTTAGAGCAATTATCTCTGTTAATGCAGTTTGACCTTGCCAACCCAAATTCCATTTTTGGGTAGATTATATGATTTCTGATGTATTATTAAGCGCTACAGGAGGGCAGGAGGGCTACCTGAGGCCACAGCTCAGCCCCAGGTTTACTCCCTGGGCGGCAGAACCTCGTACCACACACACTGAGCCAAGGGGGCTGCTCTTGCTGGACACCCAGTGAAGAGCCTTATCTCCCTGCAGCTCCATCTGCTCTGCTGCATCCCTTCAGACCACAACATGCCAGGTTTACAGCACAGCTTAGCTCACAGGGCTGGCAGGGGGATGATGACAAGTCAGAAGGTCCTTCTCTGCTAGGACTGCCTTATGGTGCCCCCCTCCAATGTATGAGAGTAAGTTTAACTGCAAATCAGAGACTTACAGTGTGGGTTTGAGGTTTATAAAAAATGGGAACTACACAAAAAAGCCCAAATGCAAATTCTGCTCGGTAGCAGGTGCTGTAGGGCTTGGTAACATACACAAGGTGTGTTTTAGTGCATGCTTTTGGTCTCAGGTAAAAACCTTGTAAGCTACCTATTTATATTCCATTTAAAGACTTACAATGTCTGTAAATACTCCAGGCCGCATAAGATTGATCATCTTTGCCACCTGGAAAACATCGACAGCATTTTCATTCTCCAGCTGCTGGGACAGAGTGGTAAGGGCACATAGCGTTCCCGCTGACACAGCTCCATACCTGGAAAACCACACCAGAGTGATGAGTTACTCAGAAACACACACAGGCTTCAACACAGGGTCATGAAAACGTTGTTACAGTCTTATCTGATTACTGTAGTTCATCTTTGTATCTATTAAATGCTTGTTTTGTAGTGGCTAATTTTTAGTTATCTTGATTTATAGGAGAAATTTGATGGTACACCAAGTCACGTCAGGATATCTGTACTATTCAACACAAAGAACTGTAACAGCAGCAGAACGTGAGCCATTTCAAAATACCCAGCCTGGAGACTGTAACACCGAAATCAGTTCTCACACGCCACGTGCACTGAGAGCATCTGCATTAACAGTTGAGCGTATTTTAAATTCATTAGTGGGAGCTCAAGCAAAACATAAACGATTAGAAAGAAATGAGACTTTTCCTCTTCCTCCACATCTGACAATTACAGCCAAATAACACGGCTGTGAGGTGCTCACAAGTAAATGGGGCACATCTCAAAGTATTCCTTAGGTCTGATTCATCGGCAAGAGGCAACATCCCTGAGCCAGGCACCCAAGAGACATTATGGATTCTGAAGAGTTGAGCTGTGCTGTCACGTAATAAGAACCTGAGCAGTGGTTATTTCGTGAGGAGCACAACTCAATGTGTCCTTGAGAGGTCAGGTGGCAATCTCAGTGCTGTAAACCTGGGGGTGTGCTTGAGCTGTATGTGCAGGTGGGAGGCACGGCATAAAGGATCCTACACAGCTGCTTCTGAGGAGCCTCCACTCTGCTCTCCCAGTACTCAGGAGACTGGAATTCTGTCCTGGTGCTGTTGTGGGTCTGCTCTGTGACTTTGAGGAAATCTAAATGTCCCCACTGGTAAAAGGGCATCGGTGCTGCTCTGCTCTCTGGACCATTCGGAGAGCTGTACGTGAAAATGGAAATAGTGAGCAAGGGCTGCAATACCATCTTGTATCACAAGATTACTACTAGGATTTTTAATGGCATTCTTGTGGAAATCAAGACATCTACTGACTTAATTTCATATGATTTTTGCAAATTCTGCATGCCTAGAAATGGGAAACAACAGATCTGCTGTGTTGGAGGTGAAGTCCGCAGAAGAAGCAGCAGCACCATCCAGATGGCTGTGACAGATCGTCTACAGGGACAGTGGACAAAGCGCCCAGTGCATGAGCCTGATGGGACACAACAAAATGTCTCTGAGGGTCTAATGGCCTTATTTGCACTTGGGCTGGTTATCTCCAGTTCCCAACAATCTGAAGACTTTTCCTGTGGAAAATTGTGTGGCAGATCTTTATCTAGTTGCCTACACATGGGCAGTTATATATAAAAATCTTGACAACTGTCTCAAGTTGGAATTTCTGAAGTTTTTAAAATGTTATCAAGTTCATTCCACCATGTACTTCCTAAATACCACATGCATTTAGTTATCTGAAAATTCATATATTTGGAATTAATCTGCAGTTGTAATTATTAGTGGATTATGTGATATAGTTGTTGCATGTAGCAAAGGGAAATTTTCATTTTCAGCTACATTTGCTTAGGCTCCAATGAAAAGCAGAATCCACATTATGTATTAGGCATAAAAATAAAATCATTGAATATGACAAATAAACGAAAAAAACGATTTACAGAAGGAATGACTCAGCACTGTTAGGAATGCGATTTTGATTTTCCTTTTTTTTTTTTTTTTTTCATCTAGCATGAAATGCCCAAATCAATAATGGTTCTAATTTTGTAAAACATAATCTTAAATACTGCAAGAGTAGCAAAACCTCACTTCAGACTACCCAAAGCATGAATATTAAAACCAGCCTGGAATTAATCAGTGCTGGCAAAGGCAACAGAGCTTACACTGTACATTAGCAAGGCAGGAGGTTGTGGGAGAAAAACTACTTGCTGCAGCCCAAGGCACCATTTTCAAGAGTCAGTTGGGAAAAACCTGTTGCAGCAGGGAAAGCAGAGAAAGCTGTTTCAGCCTCAGTGGATACCAGTGGTGTCCACACCCCAGCACAGCAGCTGGCCTGACCGCTGAAACACCAGAAGGGGGTAGTAATGTTTTTGCAAAGAAGGGGAAGATTCCCTGAACTCTCCCACTAATTCTGCTTTGTGGCAATGACAAAAAGTCTGAGGGGCTGTAGAGCAAAAGGGGTGCAGGTATGGCAGGTGTTTGCACTCAGTGTTCGCTCTAAGGACAACACAAGCAGTGTCAGAAATTGGGCCACCTTGGGATTTGAAGGACAGAATGACTCCAGGAAGTGCTCTGCCCACCAGGAAACAGTCCCTCCAAAGAGATCCTGTTAGACTCAGCCTCCAGCCTCACTATAATGGTATTTTGCAGCTCCATAATGTGTGCAAGTAGTAATATGCAATGCAATATTTAGCACCCTTTATAATTGGGTATTCAAGCGTAGCTGGCAGGACAATGCTCACCACTGCACTACAAAAGAGGCAAGTGTTGGGGCATGCTGGCCCCATGTTAGCAGGCTCCCTCCCTCCCACTTGGCACCATATGGGCCCCTTGGAGTGTTTTTGGGGAAGCAGAAAGAATAAAAATAAATCTTCTCTCAGAAAACGTGGGCCCTTTGTCACAAGATACTTCTGCTGCTCATCCTGAGACACAGCTGAGCTGAGCTTGTTCTGGCACATTAAACCTGAGCTGTTAGACAAGAGCTCAGGCTGTTTGAAACTGGTTACCATAAGCCCATATTGGGCTGCTTAGAGTCTGCTGGGCACAGAGTGGCTGGAGAGCAGCCAGGCAGAAAGGGACCTGGG